TCTTTGTCAAATTCAATAGGACGTCCGAAACGATTCATGTCTTTAAGGTTGAAATCACCTTCATTAAAACGCAAAAATCACCATATACGACACAATTTTCAAAAACAAAAGGAAGCTAGTGCCGAAAATGATCAATTTTATCGACCTGACCTTCCATTTCAAATGAATGAAAATTCACAAAAACTAAATCGAGGGAAGCAACCAAAACCACGATCTGATAGAGCAATAAGTCCTCTTTCGAATCATTTGTATGAATTTGACAATACGTTTAATTCTTGTGATTTTTAGATTTGAAAAAAACGGACATTACTTATTAAATTCAAAAATGTTAGAAGATAATAATTAAAAGTATTAGTCATATTTAGCTGAAAATAAATTGTAGACTGCATTATAATATTCCTAATCTTGTGTTATAAACGAAAAATATAAAATATATTTACATACCCAATGGCCTAAAAAATAAATTTTCGTTTTGAAGGTACAGAAAACGCAATATCGCTTTGTAAAGTCCTTAGAATTCCTGTTACAGCTATAATAGAAAATAAAAAGGATGCAGGCGTTATTTTGCGGACGATTTGTTCCTGAATGCATCGTCGGTATGTGTCAAAACTCGCTCCTAACGGCTTTTCGAGCAGTTTTCGCGATATTACTTTCATATCAAGTATTTGAGGACTATCTAGAGACCATTTCGCAACCGGAGATCGAACTATCAACTGCCATTTGACGCGAAAATGCGGTATTAACAGAATTTTTATCAGTACTCTTGCAAGATAGGGTAATATTAATATCTTTTGAAGAAATGTACAGTAATTAGTTTATTGAAATCAAGTACGCGTTGACTGTAACAAAACAAATGAACATAATAATGCGTATTACCACTAGATTCGTCTTCGTTCAAGGTAGTCGGGAAATTTTAATGCACAATAATTTTATTTGTTTTCTTTTACATTTAAATATATCTGACTTATATGCCCCCGTTTCTGTGAAAACATACTTGAAATAACAAAAACCCCATTATTTCCTTAAGTAAAGTCTGATCTCCCCGGTATTTATTTTATCAAGCTTATTGGTTGTTTTGTAATGTTCTTCCGAAGTATTCAGCAACTCAACACGATAAATATTTTTATTTTGGGACTTAAACAAACAGATCGACTGATTTAAGATCTGTATTCTCCGCTTTTTCTTTCTACCGAAAATAAGATTAAAAATAAGTTTGTGATGTAGCAGCATCCTATTTTTAGGGTAAGGTAAATAAAAAACAACTTGTATATGGATCTAAGGACGGTCGAAATTAAAAGAATAAGAAAGCAGTGGCGTACAAGAAGAACTATAAAGGGTGGACGTGTTTTTGAAATTTTTCAAAACTTCATATTAAACGAAATGTTCAGGTGGAAAGTTTTATATGGGACACCCTGTATAATATGGAAATAAATGACATTGAAGATAAAGGTCCCTTTATAATGGTACATATTTCCTACAATAAAACGCATATATCACGAACGTTTACAATAACAAATCAAGGTAACGAGACCATGATTTGGAATTTTATAAAAAATACCTAGTTCTGCGATCAAAACAGGCAAAGTCAGCTCACTTATTTTTGGCAATGCGAGATGGGAAGGTCACCAGGTAATAGGCACACGTATTCTGGTAAACCAATGAATAGATATTTTACGCGTTAAAAGGTACGGTGGGTGGCGTTCGTCCTCTGCAGCTGAGGGATATTTGATTAAAAGAGGAATTTGGAAGTATATTTGTATAAAAGTAGTTGCAAGGAAGTAAATGTGTAAAGAATAGAAGTGTTTATGGCTGAACATTGTCATCTGACGTTTCGAGAAATATATCGCTGTCTTCCTCAGAAGAAGCTCTGAAGCTCTTTCAGACGCAATATGCTTGTCCTCTTAAATAGAACTCCTTCCAATTCAAGGGTCATTGTGTTGTTTAATATCCACTGATTTGTGCTACTGCTTATGCCACACAACATTCACGGTTGCAAATTCAATAGACTATACTGAATGTATCGGTGTAGCATAGAATTTTATTTATCTCAAGTATGTCTAAAATTTATCCCATAATCCAAGCGGAGATAAAAAATATTATTATTGTATCTCTCGGTGCTACTATGTTTATGTTCTTATTTACTGATCATTCATAACCGCTATGGAGAAATATCCCAGTGTTAATTTAATAAAACTGGGCTCAACATCGCCCGAACCAGACGTATAAAATTTATCGGTATCTTATCGAGAACCCAGGCGTAAGCACCACGTTTTAATTCCTATTTAATTTCATGTTTATCTGGCGTGTAATATAATAATTATTAGCATATAAATTTTACAAGGGCATGACAATAAAGCCATTTATAGATATAAATCATAACAAAATCACAGTAGCAGGGCAATTTGTAATAAAATGTTGTAAATTATATTTTGATATGTATTGAACCAAAGAATCTACCATGTGTCTGTTTACTGAAACGAGAGATTAGATAACAGCGTTTGTCAGTATTTTTTTTATCTATAAGTGCCTCATATGTGCAAACGTTCCAATATCTACGATACATTTTTCACTAAACTGATAACCGTAAACCTAGTAAGTACTCGCGTTCAGAAAATTACCAACTATCCGAAATAAAAGTTTATTATTTGTTATTGTTTGATTAAGTTTTATTGGTCCCGCTAATATCGCTAATCCGCCAAAGACCACCAAAACTCACCAGCAAATGGAAGATGCTTTCTGTTTGGAAACTACCATTACAAAAGTTGTCCAAAATCAAAATATTTATTTGTTTTCTGTTTGGAAACTATGTAGAAAAGAAATACAAAACAGAAGTAGTGCCATATGCGTAGAATTTAAAACAAAGGCACTTGCGACACTATACCCGGATTTTTTTTGAATTTTTTGATGTTTAATTCTTCAGAAGCAGAGCTGGATAATTTTTTAATCACATAAACCCTCGTAAGGTACATTTAACTAGGCGACAGCTTCTGAAGACGAAAAAACAAAGCCTTTGCTGTGTTTTGTAGCTGTTTCAATTTTTGAAAGACAATTTCCAAAGCATCACGAAACGTTTAATAATCCTATTTTATTTTTAGTTTTAAAGCATACAAGTCTGTAAACTTTAAATTGTCCAAATTATACAACAAAAAATGATATTTTGGAAGAACTTAAGATTCAGTTAAATAAAAACCTCGTCTCCTGAAAAAACCAAAATCTATTTTCGTGTCTCCATCCCACTGAAGGTTGCCTCCATATTTATAATCTTATTCCACCTACCGAAATTCAATTACCTACCCTCGAAATCCCCTTACTTTCCTTGATTCAACTTTAATATTGTCGTAGAGTGAAAACGCCTGGATTTGACATAATCGAGACGGATATAGGGAACAAATCTGGGGTTTATTTCCTTAGACCCTTATTCGAATTTACATAGATATAGGCGATCATATCAGTCACTGCATTAATGTATCTACTAAACTAAAATAAAATATATGTCTGGGTATAGTCTCTTGTACAACACAATGTAAGTATAATACAAATAAGTTTACGTCTGAGATAGCTCCATCCATACATGCGCATTGGATTTTCTCAATTTGAGCCAGAAACGCAAACTTATTTCTGTTGGTGGACGCAGAAATGTCTACAAAGACTGTAGAATTTGTAGAACCGTTAAACAAGCCATTTCAATAGTTTGGGACTTAAAATTCCCTCTGAATAAACAAAGATTCGAATAAATTTGATATATATTTTTCATCGAGTTCTCCCTTTGCTCAGGTTTCGCAGATTTACTTTTCTCGGGGCGTTTAATAAAAAGCCTAATACCTTGAAAATTGAGACTGTTAAAAATTGTTTTTACTCAATTACGTCTACAAAATAAATACAAACCAATTTCGTATTAAAATATATTTAAAACACCATAAGGCAAATAAAACTATAAAATCTATGAATACCAGAAAGAAATATGAGGAAAAAATATCGGTACCTAATTTATTAATTAAATTGACGAATTAAATCATCTGACAAATATTCAATGCTTGCTTTTTTTTTAATGACAAACATAAAAGTAGTCAAGATATAGTGACATAAAACGAGTAAAAATTGCTATTCCATTCATCGAGCTCAAGATTACATCTAAATATACCAAATACGTTCTCTTCTAAATCTGATTTGAATAATTTGAGTAAATTATGTTAATAAATGCAGTAACAAAAATTGTACATAACATGTTTTCTACTTTATAGTTTTGGTGATCAAATAACCGCCACGTAAATAGTGTTGAATTTTTCCGAAGACGCTTTTGAAGTTTTTAGCTTCCTACATGAGGAAGCACGCCTCTCCTAGAAGACGCTGTCGTAAATTGCTGCTATTTAGATTCGGCGAAATGTTGCGTATGCATAATAAAATTTTGCTTGAAAATATCAACTGTTGCCTTGTATGAAACTAAACAGTGTGCTGAATTTTGTAATAATGACATCAATACCAAAATATTGTTTCTGTTTTAAGCATTTTTCTTATATGTTCTTGTATTACTACACATACTTTATTATTTATTCTTATGGACATAAGTGCGCAAAGTATAATTTTGCAAAAAATTTATTTTAATTTCTAACATCTAGAAATATGTCATAGGTACTTTATTACAGTTTAATTTGTAAAAGATATAGAAATACACAAAACGTATCGTGCTTAGTGTTTATAGGATGAATTTTTCTCTTGTGCCTGTCGGATAAACAGCAGTCAATTATTAGACGGAATTTTAAAAACAACGCCGTCTTTAGCTTCAAATATATTTTTGAGTAGGTACTTTAAATTAACTTCTCGTACTTTTTTGCTTTTAAATATGTTTTGTCAGGTCTGCTACTGAATAAAAAATAACGCAACGCCTCTACTATCTTTTTAGTCAGACTTAAATTTATATCAGTGGTAGATATATATATTTTTCGCGAGTTTCCTAATTTCGAAAGGTAAAATCAAATCAATCATCTAATTTAGGATCATACCTGTTTGTCCGCTGAATGCTCGGTAGCTGTGATAAGATAACCTAAACTGGATTATCCGCATACATACACACACAATAAAAGTACTTTATAGAGTCTTACGAACTACAATTAACAACACGTCAAATATTAGTTTTAGCTAAAGTTAAACTATCCTTACTTGTACTTAATCGAACACTAATAACATCGAACAGTAAACTTACACTGTAAACACTTAAGATCTAACAACAAACAGAGGGCGAGGCGTGTTCGGAGTCGCTTCTACGGGAGTTTCCCGTGGAAAACCCAAAGGAAAGGTGCAGAAGCGAACGTGGGGTTGTTAGAAATGTCTTTGTTGGGGCGTAGCGACGTAATTTGGTAATATTTCTAATCGACGAGGCCGGCTTAGTGATAAGACGGAGCGATAACGACTTCGCAATCGCGTCTACGGCAGACTGAGTGTTTTCCCGAAGGGCTAGATATGTTTTATCAACCGATAAGACCCCTCTAGCTACCGTGCGCGACGCATTCCGAACGGCCGGCGTCGGCGTGCGACGCCTCGCGTCGTTTTGGGACCGTGGAGTCGGTGGGTCGGGCGGCGGGGAATTGGACTGGACTTAGTTTCGATATTTCCGAAGTTAGGAGTGAACCGCGAAGGTTTACTTGGCCAAGAAAGTTCGAATACAATTTTTATTTACCACAAAATATGAAGAATAAGAACTAATTTCCTAATAAAACAGCTCCACCAAAAAAAAGGTCTGGTGCAAATGACCAGAGCACATTATTCCCATGTTTTTTGAGCTCTTACTTCGAATTCGATGTCAGAATAGCCCCAGCAAGTCACCAGAATTTTCTAACATCAAAAAGTGCTTAAAAATCCCACAAAATCGACAAATCATCATTTAAAATCCAGATATAGTTTGTCAGAGATTGAATCTAGTGGTCAGATCTTTATATTCCCATGTATCTTGACCCGCCGAATACGAGTCCGAAGTCAGATTTGGCACATAAGGTCACAAATCCTTCCTAATCTTAAAAAGCTTAAAAATCCACAAAATTGCTAAATTAGCTTCCATGATCCAGGTATGATTTAATAGCGACTGAAAATCGTGGTGTTACCTATTTATTATTGTATATTTTGACCCGCTCAATCCGAATCCGATGTCAGAATTGCCTCAACAAATAACCAAATTTTCTAACATAAAAAAATAGCTCAAAATCACTAATATTCTCGAATTTTAGAATGATGAGGCTACAAATAATGCAAAAATATATTAAAAATAACATACTGGCATTATTTAAGTGCTATATAGTTTCTCCAAAATTCTTCCTATTAAAATTACGCTTAATGTTATGATAGTATGCACTTTCCTGCATACTTATAGTCCAGGAAAGTTAGACATAAAATAAATGAATAAACTTTTTTTACTCTGAGATTTTTTTATAGAAAAGTGTAAGTTTTGAGTACAGAAAACATATGTCACACACCCAATCACCAGTAACATACAGCGTTTTGAGATATACAGGGTGGGCCATTAGTGTGAGAAAGTAAAATAACTCCCTTGTTATTCATAATATAGAAAAAAAAGTTTATATAAAAGTTGTACAGAATCAAAAAACCTAAAGGACAAAATTAATTTGAAAAACACACAGCGATCAACAAAAATAGGACACGCCAAATATTACATTTTTAAATGGAACATCCTGTATATTTTTAAACATATGGATTTCTGAGAAAATTCTATATATGGCAATATAAACAGTTTAACATTTTAGTGCGGGGTTGCCAAGTTATGTAGAAAATTCTTCGAATTTTGGAAAAAACATGACCTCGAAGAAGTTGTATTAACTTTCAACTAGTAACACTTGGAGCAAAAATATTTCACAGAGTTATACGCAAATGTTAGTCAAAGACTCCTTTATTAGCTAATATCCATATTTTATACAGGGCATTTTTTATAATACGATTATTTTAAGAAAGTTCAAACTTGATTTTCTAAAACTTTTCAAATGGAATACCCTGTATTTTATTGTTCTATTTTATTCACATATCAGTCCACTTCAACTTTTATGAAGTATGTTCTATACCTAAAGTTGTTAGTTTTTAAGATATAGCATCATTTCTGGAAAAACCTAATTTTTATTATTTTTTGTCGCACGAACAAAATTGTCACATTGTGTCAACTTGTCAGTTCATAATTTATCATTCCATTTTGAGTTAATTTTATTAGTTAATATTTATTTGTGGTATTCTATAAAATAATAAAAATTAAGTTTTTTCAGAAATGTTGTTATACATCTTAAAAACTAACAATATTAGATATAGAACGTGCTTAATAAAAGTTGAAGTGGACCGATATGTGAATAGAATAGAACAATAAAATACTGGATGTTCCATTTGAAAAATTTTAGAAAATCAAGTTTAAATTTTCTAAAAATGATCGTATTACAAAAAATGCCATGTATAAAATATCAATATTAGCTAATATAGAAGCCTTTGTTTAACATTTGCCTATAACTCTGTCTAATTATTTTGTTACAAGTGTTAGTAGCTGAAAGTTAATACAACTTCTTCGAGGTCATGTTTCTTCCAATATTCGAAGAATTTTCTACATAACGTATCAAATTAATTTTGTAGTTTAGGTTTCTTGTTTCTGTATAACTTTTATATAAACTTTTTTTCTGTATTATGATTAAAAAGGGAGTTAATTTACTTTCTCACACTAATGGCCCACCCTGTATATGATTTTTCACATTTTTGACCAAACACTACCAATATCTCAATGAAGATGAATTTTTTCGAATAAAGTTTCAAATATAAATTTTCTACAAAATTTCACCTATGAAATATTTCGATTTTCCCAATAGTTTTTCAGTATATTTTTTAAATGAAGTAGGTACAGATTAGATTTTGAAGTCAAAATAATGGTCAATTCATTGTCAAAAGTCAATTAGAAAAAAGAAATTTGCGGATAATTCTTGGAAAATCTTATAGTTTTCCGAGTTTTAAATATTTATGAGCATTAAACGAATCATTTTATAGTTTTCGAGGGTATACATTACGAATTAATTATGAGATTTTTAATATTTGCCAGAAAAATAAGTTTTCTTTGAATTTGTTGTGCGACAGCAATGAATTAGTTTTACATAAGAAACCTATGGAAGTCCATAAAAAATTGTTAAAAATAATAAATACAAAAAATATATTGATATATTTTTTGTATTATAATGCCTTCCTAATAAACATAAACACTTAAGCCTGTTACATCTTGATAACTGTAACTTAGTTTTTGTTCGATTTACCACTTTTTTTAAGATGAAGCTCATTAATTTTCATTTATCAGCAAAGCTTTAATCACCCTCTTCATGCCGTGCAAATAATTAAAGATTTATAAATATTTTACTGTGGGACACCCCGTAGATACATTTTTTTTATTCAAGCCAGCACATGAACTCGGAACATCACCATAATTTACAACTTCTTGAGCTCGCGCTGCTGTCAGACCACTGCTAGTTCAAAACCGAATTCATTTAGTCCCTAACTTATTATCTCGCGTTTTTCCGAGTTGTGCCACAATCCAGTGGCGCCGCAGAATTTATACCGCCATTGTAGTAATTTCCCAAAACCGTGTTAATAAATTGCAGCGTCATAAAGACGGCCTTTTGTACGGCGGTCGCCAGAGGTTTTTGAGGCGTTAACAATACGGCTGTCACTTTATCTCTGCCATTATTTAACATGAAGGTTCGCAGATGAAGGGTGAAAGAAACAAGTCGTGGAATATGGAGCTAGACGCGTTGTTTTTTTTGCGATTAGTATTTGTTCTGACCATTTGTTTACCTTAATTCTTATTTTCTCTGTATTCTTAAAAATGTCTATTTGATTAAGCCGAAATATATGACAAAATTGAATATAAAAATGAAACAACCATAAATGGATCACCTTTGCTTTAGAATTTCACTTGAACAAGCATCAGCATTGTTGCAATAATTATCCTCGACACACTCATCTTGCCCGAATTGACTTTATAGCAAAAATCTACACAATTTAATGATCTTCTAACTTTATTTCACGAATAACTATTAAACATTTTAATTGTAGATGGACAACCTGACCCTAGTTTAATATAAATTACACCCAATCCCGGAAAACCATAAACTCTGAAAGAATCAGAGGTGACATCAATCCTCGCCGCCATAAAATGAACACATCAAAATTATCTGGATGTTTATCGTTAATTATTTGTTTGCCCGTGTGACTTTACGACGTGTTTTACGAGTTTATACGCACAATGGGGGATGTTTGTAGGTGATCGGTGTGCTTAATGAACCGAGAGCGAAGTGATGGCCGTAGTTTCAGAAAACCGAACGGAAGACATTTCCGTTGCGTGTGTATTTGAGTTTACGAACTGTTATTATGATATCTGTAATTACATAATGTCTTTTAATTGCATAGCATTAGTTATTTCAAGCTACAAGTGCAATCGTACATGTCTGAATGTTAGAAGAATTCACGGACATTCAAAAGTGTAGTAAATATTTTTTAAATTCAGATATCATTCATCTATATCATATATAATAATATTTCATATTCCACGGTTTGATTTTAGTGACACAGGACGGTTTTCGGAATATGGAAAAAGTTTTTAAATATATTCCACGTCCAAATAACACCGTTGAGCTGTCCCAACGATATAGATTCTGACGCAGGACGGAACGTATCAAAAGTTCCTGAAAAGTTTGATAATTTATTTCACCAATAGTTTCGTGTGCGAGTAAAAGTGGACAAATAACCTCTTATAAATAACAGAATATGAGGAAAAGTGTTTGCTAAAGAAAGTATGGGATGATTCTGCATTTGAACATAAATAACTTACATAATACTTTTTATATTCACGATTTTCCCCTGTGACTCAATTTTTACCCCTGTTTTATATTCGCGCTCAATCTATCGAATATCTCAGCCTTCACCTCCGTCTAGACAAGTTATAAATGATTTTGAAAGGGAAAAGATAAATAATGACTCCTCTCGACAAAGTTGTACAAGGAATGTTTTCTTGATAAACAATTTCAAGTTTTAATAAAACATCATATTTTCTTCTTCCAGAAATGCTGTAATAATAACCTCTCTTTCTTTCCGGTATATCAAATATAATTTTCATTATTTTCAATTATAACTTCAACGGACTTCATTAAACGAAATCTGTAAGTCCCATATAGAAATAATAATCAGCCACCAGGCACAATCGCATTTGCGAAACGTTAATTCCAAGTCTGTGACAGGGAGGGTTGGGGACCCACCTGCCCTTCGACCCTTTGTGACGGAGATGTCACTCGAAACACAGTTACAGGGATCTGTTGAGGGCGATAAAAATTACAATCAATCCAGAAATTAGAAGGGACGACTGCACTGAATTCGACGCTAGTTTCTGGTAACTAGC